ATTCTCAGCACTCCCCACGCAACTTTGACCCTGCACACCCCGATGGGACGAAACACGTGGTCGGGCACGCGCACGCTTCCTGAGCAGGACTGTACTTTTAAGGCTTTGCTGCATCAGGAGCAGCCTCCTGTTATCTACCTTCCTTTAGGACTTGGCAACGAGGTCTGACAGGGCGTTACCTGCCGCCTGCAATCACCTCAGCACCCTCAATCACCTTCGGCCTCGGTCTCTCCCTCTTGCCCATCCCTTTGGGAAGAGATACGGAGATGACGGGCGCTCCCACCGCAGCACTGCTGCCGATAGCATCGCCGCTCGCCCTGCAGGGCTCCTGCTGATGGCTTTCAGTGTCCTTTTATGGAAGAAAAATGAATCGCCTGCCCAGCCACGAGTGCCTTCGAGCCGAGATGACAGACGGAAAGTTGCCATTTGTTGTGGTTTTGGCAGTGAGCGAGCAGAGCGCGTTCCCATGCGCGGCGCTCATTTAAAAAGGGCGCAGCAGAGGCACTGAGCTGGAGGAGAAAGCTGGGAGCTGCAGAGCTGTGGGTTTCCAGGCATGCGGAGCTGAGGGGGAGGATGGAAGAGTCCTGAAAAGGGCCCTGAGCTTTCTGCTGGATCACACAAGCTGGGGATGGGCTTCCAGGCAAAGGCACACGCAGGCGTGAGCGCTCCATTCCCAAATCCCGCCAGTAAAAGCAGCAGCAACACCATGCTTCCATTTCTCCCCCATCTCCACAAATTCTGCTGAACCACATTCACACAGACAGGGGAGGAGGGGAAGTTAAACACAGGAGATGGGCCCTAAGGTCACTGCCACCAGGAAGAAGTGACAGGGGTTTGCCATAAACAAATGCCATCGTCAGCTCTGCTCTGCACTAAAGCTGCAGGGCTACGCCATCAGCGACAAGCAAATCCAACCAACCAGGCTTCAACCAGGCACTGCAGACAGTAGTGATCAAAATGGCTGAACAGAGAGTGAAACAGGACCAGGGGGCCTCTGAAATGTTTGCAGCGCCATCAGGAAGCAGAATGAGACAGCAGACTCCTAACAGTGGGGAAAACATGTTGCAAAGCAAGGAGAACCAAGTAATTCTCCACATGCAAATCCTACTCTGAGGCATTTGGGACAAGCTCAGTTGCCCCATAACACACCTGTAGCTGGATCCTAGGTGGCAGGGGTTGCCTTGTTTTGTGACTCTGGATGAGGCACAGCTGTGTGCCTCGTTATTGCAACAGGTAGAGAGATCACAGAGCCTACAGCACACCCCATTAGCTGCTTTTGTAACCTTAGATCTGTTTTGCCATTTCTTATTTCAGCAAGAAATGCTGCTCCCACTGAAGTCACTGAGAACCATACAATGTGACTTATTAGCATGGGCTGTGGATGCAGCGTTAGCACCCTGCTAAGAAAAGCCATGTTCAGACACAGCTTGCTAGGCAGAGCTCCATACAAGCTTAAACCTGTCTCACTCCTAGCAGAAAATGAAGGTGAAGACCAGCTGGATGCATCTGCTCCTAGCCAGCACCTTGCACTCAATCCTGAGAAACACCAGCAGCTTGAAAATAAGTCCTTAAAACATCACTCCTCTGTTCCACAAATTAAAAGCGCACACAAAGACTGCTGTGCTCAGAGAGCCCAAGCCAGAGACACAGAGCTGATGGCAGGGATCCATCCCACATCTCCACTGACACCCACATCTCCAGCACAGCAGTGGGGACACCCAGCAGGCAAACTCGTTCCCTAAGCACCACCTCATTAGCAGGATGCAATGCAGAGCCCTGAGAACAGGAGAGGCAGCTGCCCCATCCCAGAGCAATGCAATTTAACACTGCAGCCATGTGTAATCGCCTCTTTGCATCCAGTCAGCAGACAACTTGGTTCAAATTAGCAAAAATCCTAAGGCACACAAAGGAGTTCTAAGGGAAAGTGCTGGAAATGCAAGTCCTTGTGATGCGGCTGTAGGCTTCAGCTTCAGGTTTTGAGCTCTCCAGCACCCAGAGGGCCAGCACTGCTTCATGCACACACAATTTCCATGGCAACAGCAGCTCTCACCTCTCCATCTCTGGCTGGCTGAAAGCCCTGCAGTGCTTTGTGCTGAGACTGCAAAGAGGGGGGAGCCCTTCCCAGGCCACAGCAAGGCACTGGGATGGCAGCGAGCAGCTGGGAACAAAAGCTTTGCCTTCCTGGACAATACAGGACGTTGGGAGGAGGGAGGCAGAGCAGAAGTAAAGGGTTTCCTTTCCTGGTGGGAAACAGAACTTTTCCCATTGTGCAGAAGCGCACGCTCACTTCCCAGCGCTTCGGAAGTCAGCAAGCAACTCGTATCCCCCGTGGTTTTACCCAACTGCCAGCTTTGCTATGTCGGAATGCAGGGAGGAGAAACACGCATGGTTAGCAATGAGAAATTCAGGGTAAGATGGAGGCTGACCAAACTGGCCAGCAAGCCTGCTGCTGCCGGGAACCTGCTCAGTGCACAAAGCCCTTCTGGGAACAGAGGGGCACTGAGCAAAACCTCAAAGCTCCAACAGGCCCTCGTGTCAGCTTGCTGAGTGACAGCTGCCTCCCTCCCTCCCACCCCAGCTCAGACAAACACAGTAGGTTTTATTCTTGGGTAGCTGGGGCAACAGCTCTCCTCGACTCATTAAGCTTCTCCTCCAGCCTGCAGTTAGCAATATTAAGATTCAAGCCCTGGCCACCTCAGAAAGAGCTCAACTTCCCCCGGCACAGCTGGAGCCTCAGCAGCCTCAGCAGATGGCATGGGCTCATCTGCATGCATCCATGGACACCCACTGAGCTACAGACAGCGACCAGCAGCTCTGCCCATGGCTGAGGTTCTAACAGCTGAGTTCTGGTTCCTGCGAGGTGCCAGCGGGTCAGACTACAGGAGATGTAGGTGTGATGCACAGGGATGCACAACCTCTGCATGCCTACAGATCTTCCTCTGTTAAGCCCAACCCATGTTCAGCCAGGAGTGCTTCCAGCTGGTTTCCATCACTTATTTTACAGCGCATCCATATCTGGCCCAAACACCCCATGCAAGATGTAAAGGAAAGCCAGAGCACGAACACAAACTCTCCAAGCAAGATGAAGGATCCAGGTGATAGAGCACAGAAACACAACAGGACCACCACCTGGTCCCCTTCTCCCCACCCTGTAAAAGCCTGGATGTTTCCAGAGGCACCTTCTGACCTTTTGCTTTCTGTACCTCCCCTCGCTGTAGGTTCAGCTGTGCAAATGCAGCCCTTCCAACCAGAGAGGGACTCCTTCCAGGATCAGTCATCACCACCCCAGAGTCTGCCAGAGGCACTGCTAGTAAAGCCAATGCATCCTCTCCAACCTCTGCAGAGTTCCCATAGAGGAAAGGGATAATCTAGCCCTTTCCTCCCTGAAGGCAACGGTTTCCTGCGAGCAAGAGCATTAACTTAAATTCCTCATACTGGAAAGAGACAAGATAGCAGGGAATGAGAAGAATCACCAAAGTTGCTGCTATGAGACAACACCACATCCTGCTGTCCCTATTCTTCATCCTTGCCTTCAAATCCTAAAGTCGTTCAGACTTCTAAGAAGAGCTCTAAGCTACTCAGCAGATTTTCAGCTAATGAATCAACACAAGCTGTCCAGGAAACCAGGAATCCAGCCCACTGGAATGCTGCAACCCCAGGGCAGGGGGAGGGGAATGGACAAGCAGCATCATTCCCAGCATAGGAAGGAAATGAAACAGCAAACCAGAAGGAAAGGAACATTTCAGCACCGACCTCTTATCACAGTTTCTGTGCCACTCTACACATTTTAGGGGAAAAAAAAAAAAAAAAAAGCATTCAAAAAAAATTTTTTTTGCACATTTGGAACGTTTGTGTTTCTCGAGGCTGAATTCCGCTCTGTGCTGCTGACACACACACATTTTGAAGACAGCTTGGGTTTTGCAAAAACAGATTTAAAACAAAACAAAACAAGGAAAGCGGAGTTGAACACGAATCGACAGTGCCACCTAGTGCCCTGCACAGCTCCTCCCTGCATTTCTTCCCAAACTGAAGGTGGAGGTGGGCACTAGCAAAACCAACCCGGATATCAGACCCCTCCTCAAGAAAGCAAACTTCACTGCTGGCAACTTCAGTCTCTACAGACGACAGAATTTGGCTTTCTCTTGCTTTCCCAGCACAGGCCAACAGCCATACTGCTTACAAGAGCCCAACACTACAGCAGCTACAAGCCTAAGTCCAAAGCACCCACAAACTCTGCTGCAGGAGTATGCAGCTCTGTGAGCACAGCACGTGATTTAAGCGTAGTGGTTAACAGCACACATGCTGCCTTGTAGCTTTGTGACAAACACCAATAGTGCATTGGCCACCAGATGTGTGCAGGGCTCTGCTTATGTTGAGGAAACTGAGAAGCAGTTTTTACACTTCTATTTTTCCCTAGAACAGACAGTGCAGAAGCACAGCAGCCAGTTTTCCCCCATTGGACCCTATGATTCTTCTTTTATGGCTATTAGCAAGCTTTAGGAAGAGCACAACGATTTTCTGCCCTTTGAATTGACTTCTTCAGACAAGTTTCTGACCATTCCAATCAAACCTGTATTCAAGTGACAGCATAACAGAAAAAGGTAAGATGTTAAGAATAGTTTGTATAGGCTTGTTTCAGCTCATTCTCCAGAAGTTTCATTAGACAAAGTATTACAATTTGCCTTTCAAACACCTGGCTCCCTGCTCACTTAAAACATTTCTGTATATGCAAGACAGCATCCTAAGGTTTTGTAGAAGCTTTTGTAGCCAACATCTTTCAAGCCTGCCACATGAAAGGGATTCTGTTGTCTGTATCAACAGTACCCTGAATACATCTCTCCAGACACACAGAACATCAGCAGGATCCAACAAATACCTTGACTGCTGCTCCATGCAGCCACACGAGACCTCAGCTCAGCTGAGGCTGCAAAGCACGAGCTGTGCTCAGCTCTGCACCAAGCACTCCAGAAGAGACCCAGTGGCAAATGTCACTCAGTTACCTTTCTGCAGCGGGGATTAGGGCAGCTGAACCTCTTCACATCGTTGTCCAGTAGAGCTGGGAAGTTACAGAAGGGACACCTGCAGCCCAAAATAAGAGGCTATTAATGCACGGTGCCAACAGTGGATTTAGTCAAAAAGCTCTGTGGTGCTTAACAGTGCTGCCAAGCAAATGCCTGCTGCAAGGATATGCTGACTGCTGTTCCTTTCCTCATATTTCTTCGATCACTTCCCTGTTTGCAATCAAAATGTCATATACTCAGCACTACTTTAGACTGTATGATATAGAGGATCAGCAAAGAGTTTGCAAGCGAGTCTTAAGGGAGACAGCTGTATTGAGCTTTAATCTGCTCCCAGCCAAAGGCAGGCCAACCTGAGTAAAAACAGCCTGGCAGGCAGGAGCCTGAAATAGCAATGCAGCTCCGTCCCACAGCTGACACATATTTAGGGGCTTGGGGAACTCTTTAACACCAGTTTGATCAGTTTGCACCTCGCACTGGGCACTGACCTGACAAGCTCATCTGCACAGGCAGCAGCCACCTCCTCCTCGGCTTTCCGCTCGTAGTATTTACACAGGATGGTTTCTGGAAGCACCTTCTCCAGCTCGCTGGTGGGGAACGAACACGTGCAACTGCCTTCCATGCAGCTGAGCTCTGACTGCGGGTGGAAAAGAGCTCAGTCTCAGTATGATGCTAGTGTCAAACCAGTCAGTGCTTGGAACATCCCACATAAACCAGAGCAGAGCCGTGCTTAGAGATAAACAGATAATCAGCAAGTGACTGCCAGAAAGCAGGCTTACTATGACAAGAACGTGGCTGGTTCATCAAATGGATCAGAACTCAAAACATGTATTGGACATGAAGATGCTTGCTGATAGGTTGGATCACAGTCCACAAGCACCAAATTCACCGTGACCTCAAGGCAGCCCGTTATTTCTGCACGTGTTTGTGACCAACGTGTTACGTTCCTGGCAATACGGTCATAGAAAATACAGCTACGTTCACATGTAACAGAGATCCCAGAGTACCAAAGTACCCTGCAGTCCAATTATTATACCCAGCACAGTGTACACTTCAGAGCAGGTAATAATTCACATACAGCTCAGCTAGATATCAGGATACTGCTAACTGCTCCCTTACCAACTCTGGATCAACTCTGGCAACTGTCCCAGGAACAGCAGCATTCGTGACACTGTTGTTGGTAGCACCATTGAGGAAACAGCCCCCAAATTAAGCTGGGGTCACAAGGAAGTGATGAAGGACAAGTATTTTTAGCTAGGAAGGGACTGGCCAAGTCAGAGATGACACCACATCATGCAGATACCACTGGTTCATTAAGTAGGGAATCAGAACCAGATGAGTTCAAGTTATTGTTACTATGAATGCTGTAGAAAGTTCTCCTAATGATCCATTTCAATTTGTTCAGCATGAAGCACACAAGATGGAGGTCAACAAACTAAAACCTCACAACCCAAACCCCATTGGAAAGTTGCTAATGGTGAGGTTGACTCATTGGATTGGCATTTCAAGACAGCTCTGATCAAATACTTCTCAGGGAGTGTGGCTACATCTGGTTTAAGCTACAAAACTATGCAAACAGCAACGTGATCACCAAACAGCAATTTATCCATTTTCCCTTTGTCCAGTTGGGAAATTCTTACCTTCCCAGAGCCAAAGACTGCCTCCTGAGCATATTTAATTAGGCACTCCTTGCAGAACAAGTGACCATCTGCACACTGAGTTAGCTCTTCAAAAGCAAACTCCCCATAACAACAGCGGCACTCTATCATCTGACCATCCTGCAACACAACAGAAATATTAGCAACAGCAAGAAACAAATAGGAATCAATAGCTATAGCAACATACCAACACAGTGCTGCAAATAAACACCCCGTGACATGAGTATGTACAACTGCAAGCTACAAACAGGGACAACATTAATTAGGAGGAGGAGCCACAGTTACACACCATTCCATCAGATATCCTGCTCAGCGGTCAGAATCCACTAAGCAAAACCAGAAACTCAGTTTTAAGTAACTTAATACCCACACGTCCGGTTTGGCAGATTCCAAAAAGCCAAAGAACACATGGTGTTTTAGTAATTCTGAGCTCACAGGCGTACAAGCATCTTGAGCTGGGGAAGCTGTGACTGCAGAGAAGCAACAGAGCACACACACCATTCGCGCGGGGAAAAGCAAGCTTCAAATCTGCTGCCCTCTAAAGGAACAGCCACCCAGCTGCCTGCAGTTACCCTGCCTCGGCCTCCTCACCACAGCTGTGAGCGTGTGCCCACTTATTGAAACGTCCAGTACCTCCTGTGAAGTCTGAAGAGAAGCGGCAATTGCGAAAGAAAAAGCAATCCAAAGCAACAGAACCTATCTCAAACTTTCCTCCACCCAAAAGGGGAAGCCCCATTTTCAGGTTTTTAAAGAGCCCATGCTGCAAAGGAGAAAGGCCTTCCTGCTGGCAGAGCTCCAAGAACAACAGCAAATCTGCTTCGAAGTCTCAAACAGCCTAACATCAGTAGCAAGAGCGAGCCTGGTGCGATTCCATTGCAGTGTTTGTTCTGGCCAGTAAAGATACAAGCAGTAGCTGACTGAATTACTGCAGATCATTATGTGCATCAATACTGTCTTGCTGGACTCAGCTCGTCTACCTCATCCAAAAGCCAGCCAACACACACTGTGCAGGTTTTGCCAGCTCAGCAAAAGCAGCACAGTGCAAATGCAGTAGTTCTCCCCTCCAGAAGCCAGGAAATTCTGAAGTGCTATGTGCAGAACAGCACCTATGTGTGAGCTGACCTCAAGGGATCACGTGATATACTGACCTTCTGATACTGTTCCTCATTCATCTGCAGAGCAAGGAGAAAGTCTGCATGCTGTAAAAGAGACGTGCATCTTTATTTACAGAATACATAAAGCAGTTTTCCAGCCTCTACACCCATTTACATTATCTCAAGATTTACAGCCCACCACAAAAGGCACACTGTCTGCTCACAACATCACTCAGCCCATCCCTCCAGTCCATTAAGATATTTATGATTCAGCTAAAACAGACAGGGGGAAGGCAAAGGCAGCAAGAACAAAGAACCAAATTCTACATTATGAGGGGCTGCCCTTTCATGTCCCTACGGGCAGAGATCCACTTGATGGGCCTCTCCAGCAGAAGCCCCAAGGAATATTATCATTGCTTTTAAAAGGAGGCACAAACCATCTGCTTAGGAGAAGCTGATCTTTAAGAAGCTACTTCAGAAAGGACTGTATGTGCAGAAAGGTGAATTCTCTCTGGAAGACAACACAGCAGCAGGTGTTGCAGGGTTCTGCTTTGAAAGACACAGACCTCAGTAAGGGAAGAGATGTTCTGGAGCCTGGAGTGCCAAGCTCTGCAAGGCAGTGAACAAGCAGACTGCCTGGCAGCAGAGAGGTCAGTGTAGTGAGTTACTCAAAGTTCTGTTCAGTGTTTGAGTCTCAGTAAGAGGCAGATTTCCACGTCCAGGGCAAAGAGCTCTGCAGCCATCTGCACCACCAAGCCAAAGCAGTTCCTACCACTCACCTCTGCCATCTCTTTAACTTTTTGCTCATAGAATTCCTGCTCCAGCAGCACTGGTGGGAGAAGTGAGAGCCTGTCATAGGACCTCCAGTGCCGCCTCTTATTCTCCAGAAAGAACATCCGCTTCTCAATCTTCACATCACCTAAACCAGAGTTACAGACACCATGAAGCAGGACAGAGCAGCAAGAACAAAGCTCAAATCCTTCCTCCTCTACACACCTCCAGCTACACAACTTCAAAACCTCCCTGTACCGAGCAGATGTGCTAACGAAGAACATTCCAAAACAGGTAGCAGACAGTGACAGAAACATTGCTGTTTTGGGAACATATCCCCTTTCAAGGACGGTCCTTTCTAGTGTAAGCCAGTTCTGCTTACCACAGTCATGCAGAGGGGCACAATACACACTGCTTGTTATTTACCTTGCTCAAATTTGAAATCTATATATGAATACTGATTCATTTCTTTTCTCCTTTTTCGTTTCCCACTGGTTTCCGGAGACAGCTCCTGCCATTTTTTGATGGCATCTGAAAAGGCCTGAAAACAAAACAAAAAACAACATGCAGATTTAAGTCCCTTCTGTTCTCCAGGAGAAAGCAGCAGCACACAGCTCAAATCAAAGCACTGTACAAACAGTGCACAGGACTGAACTAAAACAGGAAAGCCAGGCAACACAGAGGCACGCAGATCTCTTCCCTTTGTCCACTTTGCTGCTTTATGTACTCATAAAGCAATCGTTCCATTACAACAACGCAGCCACCAGGCAGAGCTGAATGGAAGCTTGCACTGCCTCAGCTATTAACACTAATACAGCTGCTGTCCACACTGACGCAGAGCTGATCTTTTTTCCTTTAAATTGAATTCCTCTTCTGAAGGTCTACAGTTAGAACCTGGCTTTGTTCAATTCAAGCACTCAGTGCTCAATCAAATGAAGAGGAACAGTGCTTTTAGCTGCAGTCAAGTACTGAAAGGGTAGAGAGAGAAGCTCAAGCAAGAGAAGCGTATCAAAAACACATCCAGTCACAAGCTTGCAACTATATTCATATTTAGCCTGGTGATACTCCGGAACAAATTTCTTTGCAGTTCCATTACTGTGAAAACTTCTTCAAAGAATGTAATGATTCATTTCATAAGTCATAATTGTAAGAAACAGGGCAGTGAGGCTTGGCCTTCTCCTCAGTTACATGCTGTCACTTACAAACTAGTAACAGCAGTTGAGTTAAATGTTTTAAGACTTGGCTAAATGTCTTGGTTTTATTGGCAATTACACCCCACTTCCGCAAAGTACAGGAGTACCTTTGAGTTTAATGCATCACTTATCATAAACTAGCCACCGTTTCATCAATTATTCTGTCACAGAAAAGTAAAAGCTTCCTGCAGCATTCTATCTGGCTGATGAGTTTTGCAAGAGTCTACCAAGCAAAGACTTCTTGAAAGGAAAGGAGGATGATTAAAACAAAAAACCCACAGAGAAACCCCACGTAACCACACATCCAGAGGAGCAAGTGGCAAAATAAGGCTAAAAGACATCACACTGCTCCCCACAGGCAGCACAGGTAACCCTGGGAAAGACAACAGACTCGAACAGGAGAACCTTTCGTGTGATTGCATAGTGTCCCTTGAGTTCATGTAGTGCCCACTTAATGTCCTGGCTGCTCAGCATCTTGAAGTCTGCCATGAGAAGGTCAGCTGCCTGAATAAAGCACCGCTGATCGAGCGGGGCAAGCTTGGAGAAGTCAAAGTAGTCCACTTTAGGCACCTGAGGAGGAAATGCAAAAGATGAGAGAGGATATAAAAAGACTTGCTACACATACACACACATCTCAAGTACTCTCACAAGATAGGAGCCTTCTGCAGGACCTCCCCAAACTGTGGCACCCTGTTCTGAGCACACATCTAAGCAGCAGCTGGGAGGACAACATGGACGTGAAGGTGCACGCTGTGCTCCTGGCAGGACACAAGACAAGCAGCTTAAAGCTACTGTGTGCATCAAGTAGGGAGACTTGCACTTAAGAGGCTGAAAAGCAACGCGTCAGGGTCACACAAAACAGTCCTCAGGCCAAAGCACTTCAAGTGACAGAATGACCAAGAATTCCTACAATAGATGTCACAGCGGGTGGCTGACAGGCAGGCAAGCCCGAGGGGCCTGCTGAGGGCACAAAGCAGACAAGAGGCAGCTGTGCAACAGCAAAACAAGAGTCTTGAAGTCATCTTGCAAGCAGCTATTGCTATTAACCACCACCTGAATTGCACCTAGAGGCCTAACAAAGCATGGCTCAACAAGGAGCTCTGCAAGCAAACACAGAACCACACGCCCCACGCTCACTTCATGTTGGACAGGCTGGAGGTGTGCTGTAGATGAGGGTATTCTCACTTGCCTTTGTCTCATCTTGGCTGGCAAGCAGGCTGCTGGTGGGATTTAAAACCATCCTGCCTTCCTTCTTTGGGTAATCTGGGTTTTCCAGAAGGAAGTTACAAAGTCTGGAAAGAAAACTATAGTTAGTTCAGGTTTGGGGAGCTCAGGCTCATTCCTCACTGGTACAATTGTTAGCATCCTCTAACAGAGGACGGGCAGGCAAGCCACAGCCTGCCCTGTGAAACCAAGAGAGGCCTCAGGCTGGAACAGATTGAAAATAAATGACTGAAAATTAAGCAAAGAATTATCAGTTGCATGAGAGCAGAAGGGAAAGCAAATAGAATGTCTTTCAGCAATTCCATGTGCCTACACGGAGCTCATACAGGTCAGCTACTCATCAACATAAAGCTCCACGCAGGGGGAAAATCAGGCTTGATTCCCACCCACAGGCACACATGTGAGCAACACCTCCTTGGGCTACGTGACTCCATCCTGCACCACTGCAAGTGGAGGAGTGCTCACGTTCTGCTGGGAGGAAACACTGTGAAGACTGCTCAAAAAGGAACAACTGCAGCACAGCAGCATTAACTGAGACAGCTGACATCCACCACGCCACACACAGCTATGGAAAAACAAGCACACAAATCCCTGTAACAACTGCAATAGGCTGAGGTCTTCCTGGTCAGAAGATTACTGAATCAAATTTTAATGAAAGCCTCCGGTCTTTAACTACTTTCCCATAAGAGCAGAGGCAGAAACAAGCTTAAAATTGTTTGCATCAGATACGTACTGCAAACACAGCTCTCATTGTCACGGAGCCTGAAGTCACAGTGGCATTGTCCAAGTGACACTGCAAACTGCTATAAGTGGGAGCAGCATTCAGAAAATGATCACTAAAAATAGCTGGCAAGTGACATCCCAGACAAACTGCTGCGTGCCCGAGGTCCTGCTGCAAACAATTGTAACTCTGTCAGGCAAATTTAGCTGAACTGAGCATTTCAGCTCCGGAAACCCTCCAGCAAGTGGTTTCGGAATACCCCACTGCTGAGATCCACACCCACTGCAGACAGCCCTGCCAAGGGGCTCTCAGCCTCTCCTGCTTGTCCTCAGCCCCTCTTGGCTGGGCCAAGGAACTCACCCTGGTCCTCAGTTTCCCCCGCTGCAGAACAACATCATTCTGGAAAGAGCTATGAGGAGCAATTAACATTCATAAAACTGTTTGAATAAGAAGGTGCTAGGTTGCAGCAAAGACAAAACTGCTGCTAATTTACATTCCCAATGTCAGAAATAGTCCCTAATTAAGAAATTTGAACCGGCATTCAGAATTAACCCGCTATCGAGGCACCATTTCTTCAGCCCTGTGTTCACATTCAAAGCAGAGGCATTGCTTTCTGTTCAACCAGGTATTGACATCTTGAGCCAGGAGCCCCTGGCCAAGCTGAAGGCTTCTTGCACACAAAAGCTGAATGGACGACACCCAGCTGGGAGCAGCTCTCACATCTTCCACATCAGCTGGAAGTTTGAAGACCATCCTATTAGAAAACAACAAAACATCCTGACGCTGAAGAAGTTTAATAGCTTCCATCTCCCTGCTTTTGTAAAAGATAACTGTTCTAATCCAGTGAAACAAACCACAAGGAGCTCAAACGCGAGGGCCTCAGCTGCAGCACGGTGCATTTGAGCTCTCCTGCCTTCTGGTGCTTTGAAAATCTCAAGATGTTAACCCTCAGCATCCAACAATGAGTTAAGTGGGTCCCAGCACACACACACACACACACATTTGTGGCACTGCTCTGTAATATCTGCACCCCAGGACACAGAGCCAGCTAAAAGCCTCATCTCTGGCCAAACCCAGCCACCCCCAGTTATTATATACCTCGAGCCTGATTCAGCTTGACACGCCGTGGAGATCAAAGAGCCCCTGCCAGCAAGGCTGCCCAGTGCCACGACCCATTTGTTCCGATACAAAAGACACGGTGACAATTCAAAAGACAGTTTGGTTAAAGGAATAAAAATATGGGGAGGAAATCTTTATCATCCAGTAACTCCGCCACGCGCCGCTGAGCAGACACTGTGGGCAGCCTGCAGGGCAGCCTGTAAGCACCTTTTCATCTCCCTGGCTCTGCAGCACACAATAGCAGAGAAGACATTCCGGGAGCAAAAAGGGAAGGAACGCATTAAGACTTACAGAAGGCGGGATTTAATTCCACCAGGCTTCACTAAATCCCTGCAGGATACAAGAACGGGTTTTGCACACAATCCCTGAGAGGGTCCTGCAGCCACACACCTAAATTCAACGGCCCAACTGCCCTAGGGATGAGTGTTGTGTGCCTCCTGCACTTCCAACACAGCCACCCACTGCCAAGTGCCCAGCGCAGGCACCTGAGAGCTTCTTGTGCTCAGCACGTCTCTGCTGCAGGGAAAGCACTTCCAGAAAAGGAGAAGAGCTGCAACCTGATCATTTCCTAACCAAGCAGCGTTTCTCCCAAGGCATGATTTCACAACACAGGTAAAGGGATAAGAAATCTAAGCATGATTCCATTAATTGGGCTTAGCTCCTTGCCACTCATTTACACCCAGTAAGCCTCACATACTTGAATACTGCTAACTACGGTTCCGATGCTAAAGGCATCAGATCCACACAAGATACAGTGAATCCTATGGCAACCAACACCTATTCTTCATTTTGGTCATGTAATAACTACACTGAAAGTGATTCAGTGACAGTTACAGAGAGAAGAGTGGGGCCACCCAACGTCAGCCATCATTTACCCCACGCTGCCCTTCCCCTGAGCTTCTGGTGCCAACACACACAATCTCTCACTCTTCAGCTGCAAAGCTTTACTCACCAGGGTGGGGAGATGTTGTAACTTATCAACAAGGTAAAGGACTTGTTTTAGTCTTTTGATTCTAGCGTGACTCTCAGAGATACCAAAAACATTTCTTAACAAGGAGCCTGGAGTTGCTGGTACAGGCAGCAAACCTTGGGGTGATTTCTCATTGCTTTTACTTCCCTCCTTGGCTCATATTTCTGCTCAATTTGACCAAAATCTGTCCATCAGCAGACACCTGGAATAAATCCTACTAGTCCTCAAATGTGTTTATCTGCAAAAGGTGGTTTGAGAGGAACTCAAATGATACCAACTGCTACTCAAGGGGATAAAAACCAACTTCATGGCATCAAATGAAGAAGTTCAGACCAGTGTCAGTTTTTATCTGGAAGAAGGCAGGAAGAGGCAGGAAATTAAGTAGGAAATTGATTCATACAATTCAAAATTTACCAACTCACCTCTGAGCTATGTTCTACAGAAGCCAACCCCTATTTCTGACACTCATCTCTAACAAGTCTGGTAACAGGAAGAGATGATATGTAATAGCTTTAAATCTCCAAATAACTAGTTAACGGAACATGCAAATTATCTTAAAAAGCAAAGCTGCAGCATGATGCCAGAATCATACAGGCTTTAAGAATAGCTCTATTACACATTTAAAAAGGAAATCCATGCTTTTTGGCACTACCAGCATAGTGCTGACTCCCAGCCTGGATACACTCAACAGCATTATTAGCAGGAAGGAAATGGAAGTGTGACTGCAGCCAAGCTGCTTTATGGTACACCCCAGCTCTCTGATCCATACTTACACGTTTAAGTCATAGCAGTCCTTGATGCTGATTAGCTCTTCAATATATTCCTTCCTCACATCTGGAAATCTCGCTTCCTACAGTAGGAAAAGCTAAGGGTTATACAGGTATTGGAGGAGCTGCACAGCACAACCTTGCAACAGCACCAGAGACAGAGATAAATGCATGGGTAGTTATCTAGCATGCTCCTGAAATGAGGTCTAAAATGGGATCCAAGAGACTGATTATATTCATACAGCCTGGATACTGCAAGCTGCTGGCTCTCCTGGCTCCACAGGAGAACTAATAGCTCTTTTTTACGTGAGCACAGGTAGTGGTGTGAGTGCCTGGCCTTACGAGTGTGCAGGGTGGATGGAAAGAGGAGAGGCACACGGGTACAAACTACAACGTGAGCAAAGTTAATATATACCCCCCAGATGGAAGATAAAGGGTTCTGACCTTGTGTGCTGGAACACATTCCAAAGCAAGAGGGAAATGAAACCATACACAGACTCTTGACGAGAGCAGAGCAGACAACAAACCTTTACTGGCATCAGCCATGTAGCCAAGAGCCCTTTAGTGCTCTCTCATTGGGTTTCCACATGGTATTGCAATTGGTTGCACCAGAGGGTACTTGGCTTTGCAAAACTGAACTGGTCAGGGTTGTGAAGCAACCTGATCAATGTAACTGTAACAAGTATGTACTCATCCTTCTCTTAGAGCAGGTCAGCAGTCACCAAGGTCTTACTCTGAAAAGTGAGTGCTGATAGTGTGCTACTTGGAGAGTAACACTATTTTCTCAGTCTTGGTTTCCCCAGATTAAATTAACATACAGTAAGATGCAACAGAGTCATAAAAGATAAGAAATAAAAAACATTAAAAAAAAATAATCCATAAAGTATCAAAAGAGAGCCTTTCTGCCTAGCAGGCAGTGTGATGACTGTATGCCAGAGGAGAGGGGAACCACCAGATGCAAAGCATCACCAAGCACTGTTTCCTGCTGTTTTTGTAATGCTCACCATGCTGCCCAAGCTAAACATACCACAGGGATGGAGAATGGCCCTGTGTCACTTTGCCTCACTGCACCCCAATGCACTCCATGCAGTTCTGCTCCATTTTCCTGGCCAACCAACAGCCCACCCCAAAGCAAACACCATCGGGATTCACATCCATTCATCACTGCTGCTGCAGCAATGGGGTTAATCTCTTTAAACCAAAGTTTTCCAAGACTGCTCACTGCACGCTCACATTGTGCATCGCTGGGCCTCAGCCAGAGCGAGGAGGACCTGCAGCTGAAGTAAGCAGGAGTCGTGCTTTGAGCACACGCAACGCCGCACGCCTTGACAAAACCGTCTGAAAACAACACGAATGCAAAATGGGGACGACTTACTGTCTCTCTGATGAGCAGGGCAGTGAAGTCCTGGTCCTCCTGCCCCGCAGCCCCTTGTTCTGGCACACTGCTGGACCCGAGTTCATGCGAGCCCTGCGCTGGGAAGGCAGGGCCGGGCCGCTCGTTGTCTGTCGCCTGCTGTCCCCTGGTCTCCTCTGGTGGATGTGCCGGCTGTGGTGATGCAGGACCCGGAATGCCATCCTGCTGTGGCTCTGGTCTGGGAAAGGCTGGCCCTGGAGCCTCCTCTCCATAGGCCCTCAGAGATGCTGAGCCTGCCTCGGGCTGCCCCTGCTGCGGAGCACAGCCATTGAGCACAGTGCGCAGCTCCGTGTCCAGAGGCTGCAGGCAGGGGGGACCCGGCGGGCTGCTGTCCTGGATCTCCTGCTCTGTGGTGGTTGCAGCAGCTGTTCCATCGATGCTCTGCGAGAGCTCTGCCTTTAAGTCCTCCCCTTGCCAGCCCTGGGCTTCCACCTTTTCCCCTTGTGGTGGTGGAAAGTCTGCTTTCCCCAGACTAACAAATTCCCTGTTAACAAGCTGCGGACTCGTTATTACTGCTGGAAACAAACTCAGGCCAGGCTCAGGGTCGCTCGTAAGTTCAGACCTGGGGCCATTCAGCTCAGGTGGCCCCGGCTGCTGCAAGGCAAAGTTCACACTCTCCTCCTTGCTTGGTCCAGCACTGCTCAGCGCCGTGTGGTCTTTCTGGCACAGCAGAGCTGAGATCTCATCCTGCACACACACGCTCCCCAAAGGCCCTACAGCGCTTTTAGATCCTCCTTCTCCCACAGCGTTTGCACCCTGCCACCGAGCAGCAGGTCTGATGACGTTGGGACGCACGAGCTGCTGATGCTTGGAGGTCTAAAAAGAAGACAGAGGAGAATAAGTAGAAGTTCTTCTCTACTCATCGGAATCCTTGTTCCAAATGATCTTTTGCATCTCTCCAGATTTCTGACAGGAAACTGATGAAAAGCCAGTTAAGCAGCGACTGTAATAAAGCATAAAACTACCACCCAGTTATCTTTGTTTCAATGCACTCTATGGTCTGCCCCCAGGTGCTAGGAGAGCACTAGTTATAAGAGAACACTCAGCAGAACTGGAGATACACGGGGCTCTCAGCACTGGAATAATTCCCAGAGCTCACTCCAATCCCCACTTCATTCCCAGATGGTCTGAGAAGTAAAAGCAAACTGATGGCGTTTGCACCTCAGCAAATCGTTTGTACAGGCAGCAGGAACCGAAGCTCAAAACGTTCATCTCTGGCCTCACTCCTGCCTCTGGCAAGCTAAGACTGCTGAATACAAGTACAGTTTAAAGATTTGTTTGAAGATTCTTTGCCACTGTTTTCAAGTAAGAAACAGAAAAGTGTCTTTGCAACCCACTTCCTCAATGCCTCTGGTTACCCTAACAGAAAAGTGGGATGTGCTCTGAACTGCACAGCTGAAGGACACAAGGTTAAGCCAGGTGCAGGTTTTGAACACCTGCATTCTAAGGCACAAATTCACTTCTCCACCTACCTTTCTGGATTAAGGAGGCTCTACTTTCCAAAAGTTAAGTAGAACTTCAAGTACTATGCTGCTAACAATCTAGTTCTCCTCTCTTGTGCCCAAAACATGATTAAAAACTCAAACTCAGCAAAATGTTCTCAAATCAACACTCATTTCAGAGATCCCAGTGAAGCCACTTCAGCTAGGCAGGACTCCCACAGGACTACATTAGGTATCTGTACATGAGTTGGTTACAAAGGCTATGAATCAAGCAGCAACACATAGAAAAATGACAAATTACCTCTGCCAAGATGACCACATCTTCATCATCATCATCCTCACGCTGCTGCTCTGCTGGTGTTTCCTGCAAAGGCAATTCTTCATCCGAGGAATCTGATATTGTGATAAGACCTTCATCCCTGCGGTTTACCCGGTCTGTAGCAAGGTAAGTCATGTTAGCTGCTTGCAAATTACCAAGACATCTGCAAAAGCAATCCTCACATTTGCTTTGCAGCAACAAGAAAAAAGCACTTTGAGGTCAAAGCCACTCCTATGATCCTCAGAGCAAAGCCTTGCAAAAAAACTACAGGTCAAGAGATCACACTGCCATATGCCTGAAACGCTTCTATGCAGAGATTCTTCCATCCTAAGCATTAGCATGAGTCAAGCTGCTGCAAAAACTGTCCCCAGTAATTCATGTACAGAGTAATTTTTAGAGAGATACCCTGAACTCTCAGTATCTCGGGCACTACACGTTTCCTTTTATTAATGTGCAGTACGTTCTAGAGGACAGATAACGTTCCGTGTGCAATGTGACATCCTCTCAAAGAGTGACTTTGTGGGAGCACCGTATGAGAGCCTGAGATAGGGCTCCTGCCTGAGAGTGCAGATGATATCCTGCTATTAGATGACAGTCCTCAAGGTTTGTCACAAGTGTAAAGGTGCTACTGAGCAAAGCTGCTGGAATCAGGGAGGGAAGCACCAGCCAGAAGCAAAGGCTTTCTGCAGTGCCTGAGCAGCACGCACCCATGCTTTCCCTATGACTTGACACAACGCTTTGGTTTACACTTCTGTAACTCTGCAGGAAATCAATACAGAACCACCTCACCTTTCAGCCATACCGAGAAAGAGCCGTTCTGAACTGCACTCAAAGTGCTGATCTGAAAGCTCACCTCTCTCCTATCAGATTGTGAAAGGGTGGAACACCACGAGCCCCTCAGATCTGCTGGAGCTCCTCTGCAGAGCCAAGCAGTCAGCACTCTGCCTTAAGGCAGGGCAACACCAGAGGCAAGAGCCAAACATGTTGCATGCCAGCATAAATTGAGAGGCTTTGCAGCTATCTATAGAAAATTAAATAAAACAGCAGGGTGTGTCAAGAGGAGACAGATCACTAGCAGTTCTCTATTAACAATACCCCTGCACATTTAATACCTATTATTCCTGCTGCTGGTAAGCAGAGCTGTACAACTGTGACTCCAGGAAGTACGCACAGATCAATGCTCACCTTTCCCTCTGTGGCTATGGAAGCTGCTTAGGTGAACTGCTTCTTCATTCCCAGCTCTCTCTGCCATTTTCAACAGCTGTTCTTAGAAGCATCAAGGCCCAGGCATGGCACTCAGGCAAGTGTGAGGAACTAGAAGAGAAAAACAGAGGAGAGTAAAGCGTGTTTCGGTTTCAGTTCTGACTTTCAGCACAGCACGGCTGCAGAGCACAACCAGGCCCACAGGGGAGGAGAATATGGAGGTGCTCAGAGCTGTGCAGCTGCAGGAGGGCAATGCAGCTCTGCCCAGCCAACACTCAGACCCTCAAAGACTGTTTTCTGTTTCCAAGAAGTAAAAAATTCAGAGCAGTGTTTCTGCCACCACCTGCTGGTAAGAGGAGTGAAAGCTTCGGAGCAGAGCTGTGTGTCCCAGGCTCTGCAGCCTCCACAGCCAGCAGCAGTGCAGGGAACAGACTGTGCCACAGCACGAACCCAGGAAACGTGGCCATCAGAGCCCCAATGGGCATCAGAGCCCCAGCAGATCTGAAAGCTGGGCTGCAAAGAAGCCAAATGCAAAGCGAGGTGCTGCTGGAATGGAGACAACCACCCCAAAGCCTCAGTGCCCTGTGTGAAGGCTGAACTGGGGCTGCAGAGCAATCAGGGATGCTCATCTTATGCCATTCAGGCACTGACCCTTGGAAAGAAGCTGCACCCCAAGGGCAGCGTGTGATCAGGCCCAGGGAAGGCAGCACTTACAGGAAACACTGCACCACCATCATCTGCTGTTCTGAAGAACAGCCCTGCCTGCTTTATGACACAGCCCTTCCTCTATTACAATCTGCTGGAGGTTCCAGGACACACCACCTGCTCCCAAACCAGAGAGACACACAAGGGATGCGACTCCTTCCCAGGACAGAGCTTTTGGGACTGAGCTCTGCCAGCCACCCGCTCGCAGCCCGGCGCCACGCAGGGCTCCAGGATGGGCTGCATCACTGCAACCTGAACAGCACATTTCCATTCTGTGCTTTGACAGCCCACAGCTCTCAGCTCCAGTTGTTACAGACTGAAGTTGGAGCAATATTTGGTCACTGGAACACAAAAGGAGGCCTTTGTATTGAGAAGTATTCATCTCATTGTTAAAGCATTGAGGAAACTGTATTATTAAATATTTACTGCTGCATCCGTTGGAAGAAAATGGTGGGTCTGCTCTAAAATCCTTTTGCTGGTACACAAAAGCAGGGTAAATCCCTCCTCATCGTTCTGCTTAGCTTCCCCTGCAGGGAGCAGGATTTGCAGCTGGCACAGCATGACAAAACCTGTTCAGATGCACGGTATGAACTTAAACATACGTATTCCCCCCCAGGAACTGTTCATCCCCATTCTGAAAAAACAGGAACACACATCTCCTGCAGAACCAAGACCTTGGGGTTATTTCCACAAGGTTCCTCAGCCTCTGCCTTACGTGCAAGGAGAAGCAAGCCTTGCTCTGAGTGGCACTTTGATGGTCAGAGAGGAGCAGAAGTGCTGCCCCACTCCCACATGCTATCAGTAAGCACGCCTGCTGAAAGCACTGTCCTTTTTAAAAGGTCACATCCACATTATTCCAGTTCCATTTGCCTGGCACTTGTGAATATCTATCACTTTGCCTTGCCACTTTCCCATCCTCAGCCCTCCAAGTGCTTTAGAAAAACAAGATCAATGTTGTTCTCACCACTTACAAGATAGAGAAATGGAAGCACTGAAAGGAGCAGCACGGCCAAGGTCAGCCAGCAGGCGAGAGGCAGCGTCAGGAATAGCACCCAGGCCCCTGCAGCCAGCCAGGTGCAGCCATGCCCACCAGTCCTGCAGGCAGGTCCTGCACAGCACTCCTTGCAGAGCTCACCTCAGCCCCACCACGCTGGGAGCAATGCACTGCACAGGGCAAAGCCACTGCTCGAGTCATCACACAGCAAGGGATTGCTCTGAGGCTGGCTGGGGAGGGAAAAGCCACAGATCAGCCCTGCAGCATCCAATGTGCAGACAGAGGCTAGACAGGTGTCTGCTCAGATCTGCTCTGCAGAGCTCAGTGGCACAGATCCTCTCCCCATACAGCACGCAGCATCAGAGCTCAGCTCATGGGTCAGCCAACACCGACTGCCCCGCGCTGTCCTGGCTCCAGCTGGGGCTGTTATCTTCCTTCCCAGCAGCGCTGTGCTGCGGGCTGAGGCTGAGCACAGAGCTGACAACACCCATATTTTGGCTCTTGCTGCTCAGTGCTTACACGGAGCTGAGGAACCTGGGCACCAGCTGGGCACCGCTCCGCAGGTGGGGGCAGCCACGTTGTGTGCCATTTGTTCTGCACATCCCATCATTATTTTTCTTTCCTTTTTTGCTCCATTAAACTGTCTTTATCTCAACCCATGTGTTTACCCTTTTTTTCCCTTCAATTCTCTCCCCCACCCCAGTGAAGGGGGAGGGAGCAAAGGACTGGGAGGTGCTGAGCTAACCCACTGCCCTTCCCACTTGGCACTCAGACACCGTTCTCCATCGGCAGCTCAGGTTCATCCAGAGAGCAACTGGTTCCTTCAGCATCAAAGAAGAGGTGCAGGAAATGCTCTGTAAAGAAGCTCAGGATCACAGCTGAGTGCCCCCTGCACATCACCCAAAGATCCACAGAACAGCACCCACTGGCACGGCCACTTCTGTCCAGTGACACAATCACTACTTTTTCACTTGCATGGCATCAGGCTGCAAAGAAAGTGAGCTAACAAGATCAAAGCCAACCCAGGGGGCTGCCCTACGTAAACAGCACAACGAAGGCAAGCAAGGCACGTGGAAAGAAGCTATCTCACACCACCTCTGTGACTTCTATGCCTGTTTATAAAGCTACCTATCACAGAGTCCCAGCACAACCATCAGCCTCACCACACAAGGGCAGGATACAAGAACTACTTTAAAAGGAAGGCCTGACAGCTGAAGGCATGCACACCTCCCAGGCACACACACACAGATGTGCCCTCTCCAAAGGCGCTGCTCCCAGCCACCCCAAGCAGACAGTTCTGCTGCTGGGATGTAAAAGCAGGTCACAGGTGCAGGCTGATTGCTTACACATGAGTCCCCAATCCCACTCAAAATCCCCACAACCACCACGTTTCGTATTTTTAGCCTAACCTAAAAATAGCAGGCAGCAGCACGGTGCATCTATTCCAACTCCCAGCACAGGCAGAAGTTTCTGGCTTGCAGGAATTGGAGCAGAACCCGAGCAGGCTCCCTCCACCTTCTGTTTGTGCTGTAAAAAGCATCTTCAGATGGTGCTGGGATTTAAAGCAACAGTCGAGGGGGATCTCTCCTCCCTGACACAGCGTAGCCTACTTTTTCCCACTTAGAGCGTTTGAAATCTTCAACTCCCACATATCCAAGATGGGAGCAGACACAAAGTGCTCTTTTCTGGCTCTAGCTCAAGGCAGCAGGACGTGCAGGAAGCACTGCAGGGGAGGTTGGAATTGAAACCCCGACCAAATGGAGGGGGGAAAAAAAAAAAAGAGCAACTAGGAAGAGATGTCAGCAGCATTAAGTGCGTTTCAGCCTTTCCCCCATTCAGCAACACCACTGCTGCTCACCTATGTTGACAGAAGAGCATCAATTCCTGCTTTCTGCCTGCAGGCAGCACCGTGGCTTCTGGTCGCCTGCGAGCAAGGTGAGGTTCTGGCTCCTCTCAAGCTGCTAAAACAAAGAGAAGCTGCTTAAATAATGCATGGCTTGTGACAAGCAGCAAACTGAAAAGCTAAAACTCAGCCCTTAAGAAAAAAAAAACAGCATTGCAAAACAAACTCCGCCTGACCTACTGCTAAGCTTTCAGTGAAACATTTCAAAAGGTTCAATCTGCTGGGAGCTGCTCCTTGTAACAGCTGCCCAGCAGAAGCAGGGAGGGCTTAGCAGTGCTTATCATGCCAAGCAGCCTCATCCCAACTGAAACAAGTCTGGTAAGAAACGCTAAAAGCCTCTGTTTGCTGTGTGTGAGGAAACCACAGACACTGGGTACACCTGGCAAAAGAATGCAGCCAGAGCTGCTCACATCACTACTGCTTCCCCTGCTTACCAGGCTCCCAGTCAGCCCCAGTCCTGTGGCTGAGCCATTTGGTGAGAGGATCACTCAGGCACAACCCTGGGAAGTGCTCCACTGCCATCAGTTCATCTGTTATCACCAAGTACAAATAGAAAGGAACCTGTCCAGCTTTATTTTATCCACCTACAATGGCAGCAGATTTCCCTGTGGGCTTTCCTAAGGAAGGTGAGCTGGTTTTAAAACAGGTGCATTTATTTCCCAAGCTGTGACGGCGCACACCTGGCAGCTCCAAGAACACTTTGCAATGGCAGCACTTGCACGGAACCAACATCTCAGGCTCACATCTCCCAAGCCATCGCTTTAAAGAACCACATTGTTACGTCTTTATGGTCAGAGAGTGGGGACAGAGCACAAAGCACCACGTGAACTGCAGCTCTGTCACTTCCACAACAAGTTTCAATTCTTTCTTTAAGCCTTGACCTCCCACATATGCCAACCAAAGGCCCTTCCCTCTGAGCAGCATCATTACTGAGGTGCTGGTATCTGAAAAAGACACACTGTGCAGGCGTGACATGCACCCGTGTGTGCCCAGCTGGTGGTGATGGCACTGCCTCCTCCTCCTCCCTATCAGCCTATGGGGCCACGCACTAAAGAACAAAATTAGCAACCTCTGTGCCCTGGGATGCATGTGAGAGCGCTTCTCTGCTCTGTGTTCTCTGCTACTTATACCTCACAGAGCGCTGCGGGAGAAAGGATGCAGCATTTCCTCTCCAGATCCTCAGTAGTGCTTTTCTTTTCTCTTTTCTTTTTTAAGGAAATCCAAATGTCACCTTTAAAAGCTATAAGATAAGAAAGAAAGTGAAGTGCAACTCTCAGCAGCCGGGTCGCACGCCTTCAGGTTCCCAGCCCAGCCTGGTTTTCTATTGCAAGCAGAGAATTCAAAGGGTTCAGAGCTGCTCCATGAGTAACGAGGGACTGAGCAGCACAGAGCAGGGGGCTGCAAGGCACCGAGGCACCCTGAGCTGTGGGAGCAGCCAGAGGGCTTCAAAACCACCACAGGCTCCATGGTGGTGCATCGACTTGGATGCTCACCTCCAGCCATCCTTCTGCAGGTATCAAACATCCCAGGACTGGGGGCTTCTGAAAGGAACAGCCTCACAGCTCACACCTTATTTACTACAGCAGTGCCCTTTTCTGAGCACTCGCATGGAGGTCAGCCAGGAGCCCAGCATGCTGACACCAACAAACACCCCTGGGTTTATTTCAGCTCGGCCACTTTGCTTTCAGCCCAGCTCTATCGGGTCCTTTCAGTGCCTCTGTAACACAGCAGGGAACCACAGCAGCGCTGCTAATCAGGAAAACGGCGTCACTCAGCAGCAGCATTTCCTACTCCTCAGCAATTCAGCTTTCCTGAGAATCAGTACAAATTTGAATTCACCATAAGCTCTTCAGCACCAGCTCTGAGGAAACGACATCGCTCTCGAGTTGTTTCCAAACTAAACTTGAGGTTCTGTACAAGTGACAGGAAAGCAGCGGGGGCACAATGATGTCCACCAGTGAGACACAGCTGCCATCTCCACGCTTCGGAGAGCAGAACCCACTCCAGCTTCCAGGATGCTAAGTGCCCCTCCTCTCCCTGCATCCCAGTGCAGGAACTGCCACAGGAGAACAGCAATGAACTTCTCTTCTGGGCTGCTGCTGGTGTCCTAAATCAGCTGCACGCTTCTTGCTGCTGGCCACAGCGGGAAGAGATCCTGCTGAGAGCAGTTGGTATCACACAGAGCAGCTCAAAACACATCTATCCATCGACCAAGGCGTGTTGTGCACAAAGCTCCAGCGTGCATACAGACTACTGAGGCTATCAGAGCCTTTCCTTTAGGAACAGGGGCCAACGCCTGAATTCAAATACGCTAAAACACAGACTTAACTTTTATCCCCAGACCGAACCCACGTGCAAAAAATCAAGCTCCTGACACGAAGAACTAGTGGTGTAGCTCTGACCGTCCCAAAAAGAATGTGGCTCTAGCAAGCACTGACACCACAGCTGAGCCAACCTGCCCACACTGCTCCAGCAAACCACTCACTACGGCTCCCAAAAAACAAACCCAAAGGCACCCACTGCAAATGAATGGACGAATGGGAGCCTCCTCCAGCAGCAACTGGCAGCACCCAGAGGGCTCTGCTTCCCTCTCACTGGGGCCTGTGCTGCTCAGGTGTTGCTAATTAGCCCCCAGTCACACTTCCTGCCTCTCCCCAGCTGTGCTGAAGATGCACTCCGCCTAGTTTTGCCACGGGACTTTTTAGCAATTTGTGACCCACTTCAAAGCACGAGGCACACCGCTAAGAGCCCAGCTGTCAGAGGCGGTGCTGGCTCCACACTGCTGGCAGCAACACCCACTGCATTCCCAGCAGACAAAGCATCGGCCTGCAGTGGAATATGGAGTTCTGGGGCAGCTGCAACAGACTGCCAGCACCTTGTTGTAAACCAAAACATACCTAGTCATCAGCAGAGCCCGGCCCAGCCGCTGTGCTGGGGACAGCTGCCCAAGAAGGATGCCTGCAGGCAGGCTGACAGGAAAGCGCTTGAGGAAGGGAAAGTAAAAGGCAGAGGGGAGCCTGTTACTGAAACAGCATTGAATGCTGCTGCAATGCTGCAGGAAGTGGGGGAGCCTCCTTCCAGCCCCAGGAGACCAGGCACAAGCTCCCATCGTGATGACCATTTATTAGCCACTACGCAGACACCCAGCACATGATGCCTATTAAGATGTTCACTGTAACAACAGGCTTGAGGAGGGGCAACAGAGCTTTGTGCAGCATCTGCCCTAGAAATGAGGAGGCCAGGTGAGAACGGTAAATGCACACACGGGGCTCACCATACAGTTTGCACTGTGCATTGTTACAGCACAGTGCTGTGCAGGAACACACCAGGAACCACTGCAGACTCACATGCACAGAGCAATGGTCTCACACAGCCCCTCTCTCCCCAGCAGGCTGCAGGCAGTGCACACCTCCCTCTGTGCTCCCCAGCAGCAGGAGGAGCACACTGTAACCCAGCCCTGGTCTGGGTGCCCATCTCACGCTGCTGTTGTTAGGAACCTCCTGCAGTTGCTCCAACAGACGGAGCCAAGCTGCTATTGCCTTCAAGATCGTGGCACAGCACTCAGCACGCTTCAAAACAAACGCAAGAAGAGACTGCAGTTGTAACAGAAGTACAGGTGCACGGCAGCACCATATCAGCTTTTTTAATGCAAAACACCATCAGCCCCAAAGCAGGGGCTGCACAACAACGCTTCACAGAGGGGCTGAGCGCTGCCTGGCAAGCACTGGGGAGCTGAAGAGAATGGGGACAGCTGGACTCCACGCTCCACGTGCGTTCTGCTCCCAGTATGAAAGCACTTCAGTGAGATCCCAGATAAGTTGTCGGAGGACACAAAGACGATGATGCTTCTGGTCACAACGGAATGCAAACTGCGAAGCACACGGCTGAGTTTCTGAGTGGGAGCAGCTGCTGCCAGCAGCCACGCAGAAGCAGCCGAGGCTCAGCCACACAGCCACGGGTCAACCTGCCGGGCCCACTCGTGCTTCCTCCAGGACCTCCAGCCTCCCCCCAGCCGCCCCATAGAAGCGCGGCTCCAGAGCCCCCCATCACAGCAGCACTGCGCGTCTGCGAGCTGGGCCGGCACCGCGACCGCAGAGCACGGGGGCAAAAAGGTCTCAGCGACACCGCCTTGAGGAGGTCGGGTTCCCCTCTCACAGCCGTCCTCACGACCGCACGGAGGGACGGGAGAGGCGCCGAACCCGGCCCGGGGAACAGGGCCCGGGACAGGGCCGCAGCCCAGCGGGCACGCAGCGCCGAGCACGGCCCCGGCGCGGCGGAGGCTGCGAGGAGCCGAGGCCGAGGCAGCCACAAGCCCTCTCCGCCCGGCCCGCCGCCGCTCTGCCGCCTCCCGGGGCGCCCCGCACGAGCGCTCCCTCGGGCGCTACTCACCGGGCCGCCACCCTCCCGCCGGCCCCGCTCCATTTAGCCGCCGCTGCCCCGCTCCTTCCGGCCTGCGCGCGGCACGTGACCGCCCCGCCCCGCACCATAGAGTGGAGCGGCGGGAACTGGGGAAGGGGGTGAGAGGAGAGGGACAGAAGGGCGGACCCGGCGGTCCCGTCGCGGAGAACGTACCATAGAGTGCGCGGGGGGCGGTCCTCCGGGCAGCAGCGCTCCGCCCCCATCCGGGCGCTGCGTGGAGGTGGGAGGGGGCGGGGCCAATGCGGAGGGGCGGGGGCAACGCGGAGGGGCGGGGCTAACGGGAGCGCACGTGGTGCCCGGCGGGGCGCCGGCTTGCGGAAAACCCTATAGAACGCACCGTCGGGAGGGCTGTGATCTGTATGGGGACCCATAAACTCTGGAGGGAGGAACGTCCCGTGAAATGCTCGGAGATGCCCTGATGTAGGGGGGCACCAAGTCCCTCATGGAGGTCCCGTGTCCCTTGTGGGGGTGACCTGCCAAGTGAGGCTGCAGTCCCAAGCCCCCCTGCCCCATTCAGGTCTCTCTGGGATTCCCCTTCTCCCCCCATTTCTGAGACTTTGCAGGACATCTCTCTCGTCACACCATTCCAATTAGAACCCTTCCAGGATTTCCTTCGCTCTCCCAGATTTAGACCCTTTCTAGGATTTCCTCCCCCTTGATTTAGAGCCTTTTCAAGACTTTTTTCCTCCTAATCTAGACCCATTTTAGCCTCCCTCCTCCCCCCTTCTTGTTTCCAGCACTACCACAGTGCTCCCAAGCACTCTCCAGCCCTCAGCACTCCCACATTACCCCACTTTAGAATCCCACCTAGTCCTCCCCCCCCAAACCAACACACTCCTAACCCCCCCAATCCTGCACCTCTCTCGCTTATCCCATCCCTGTGCTTTTTGTACCCAGGGGACGGAGCAGCTCTGGGGGCAGGAGGACACTGTGAGCATTCCGGCAGTGCTGATTTCCCTTTGATACCCAATGCCTTCTTGCAAGGAGCGTGGCCCCATGGAGAGCCCTTTTGCTCTGTGCAACCCATAGCACAAAGTTAACCAGCCTGGGTGCATAGCTGGCAGCACAGACCTGGAAGGATGCAGGAGTTTCTAATGTGACTCCAGAGGAGCCTGCTGCATTTTCCTGGCAGCGTCACTCATTTTGTCTCTGCTCAAAGCAGCTTTTTTGCTTCTGCCTTAATGCTGGAGCTACAGGGAAGGGAGGTCCCACAGGGGTGGGTGCCAGCGCAAGGTTCCCACTGCCATCAGCTCTGGGAGGGGTTGAGGTGATGCTCTGTTCACTCTTTTCTCCTTCCCATCCTCTAAGAGGGAGAAAAGTTTCTGACATGAAGAAATCAGTGTTTTTTTCCCAATTCCCTCCCAGTGAGGAGCTGTGCCAGCATCCCAGTGGGTGGCAGTGGGAGCAGCCGCCGTGTTCCACCCCGCTGAGGGCAGAGGGACAAATCCCACCTCCACTCCTGCCTCGGCCCTCCCTCGGCCGCAGGAAGGCGGGTGCATGGAGGATGGCTTTTCCAGGCTGTGCAACAGAGAGCCACACATTGAAGCTGAGCGCTACCACTGCTGCGGTGCTGCAACTGGGACAACACGACCAGGAGCTGCTGTTCTGCAGTTTGGGATTCCCTCCAGGGCGGTGACCTCAGGGGTGGCTGTTGGTGAGGTCCCATCCCAGCTGCAAGAGGGGCAGTGAGGATGGAGCCGGGCGCATGCACCCCGGAGCCGTGCTACCCAAAGAATGGCAGCACCTCACTCAACATCACGTCCGATAGTGCTGGCGACCTCCTGGCCACCTCCTTCCTGGGCTGCATCCTGGGCACCATGTGCGTGGTGGGCACGGCAGGGAACATCTACACGCTGGTGGTCACCACCGTCTCCATGAGGCGCAGCGGCTCCATGTACGTTTACATCATCAACTTGGCCCTGGCCGACCTCCTCTACCTGTCCACCATCCCTTTCGTGGTGTGCACCTACTTCGTGCGGGATTGGTACTTCGGAGACCTGGGCTGCAGGATCCTCTTCAGCCTCGACCTCCTCACCATGCACGCCAGCATCTTCATCCTGACCATCATGAGCACTGAGCGCTACCTGGCCGTCGCCCGCCCTCTGGCCACGCTGCGTGGATCAAGGGACCGTCGGCGGGCGCTCGCCTTCCTGGCATGGCTGGTGGCCTTCCTCCTTGCCCTGCCCAGCATGATCCTCATCGACCTGCGCACCAGCCACCGCCACGGGGTGACCAAGCGTATGTGCCACCCCACGTGGCGGATGGGGCCTTACAAGGTGTACCTCACTGTCCTCTTCAACACCTGCATCCTCGCCCCGGGCGTCACCATCTGCTGCGTGTACGCCAAGCTGGCCAGGACCTACTGGAGGTCCCAGAGGGCTCTTGTTGCTCACGCCAAGCACGCCAGCCACTGTCCCAAGCAGAAGGTGCTGTACATGATCTTCAGCATCGTGCTCGCCTACTGGGCTTGCTTTGTTCCCTTCTGGCTGTGGCAGCTCTTCAGCCTCTACTGGCACGAGCGTGGGGAGCGGGGCAGCTCCACCGTCGTCCCCATCAACTTCCTGGTGACCTGCTTGGCCTACAGCAACAGCTGCGTCAACCCCTTCCTCTACACACTGCTCTCCAAGAACTACAGTGAGTACCTGCAGAGACACCACCGGGCTGCCCAGCGGGGCTCCTCTGCACAGCCACCAGCCCCCGTCCCACCCCCGGGGGGCTCCGGAGAGGATGACTGTGGTCTGTGAGAGGTGGGTGCCCACGGGGCAGAGATGCGGATGCTTTTTCCTCTGTTGTGGTTCGGTGGCTCAGCCCTTTTGCTGAGGGCTGTGACACGTCGTTGCTACCCGGGTGAGGTTGCTAAGACACTGGTTATAGCAATAAAGGATAAAAGCGGGGTGGCTCTGATCACTGAACTCACTCTGAGCCTTTTGATGAACGTGCTTCTTGTCGTTGCGTTTCCACCAGTAGTTCTACTGAAAATAATCTATCACCAGATTTGTTAGAGGAACCGTTTTGCTGGAGGAAACCGGAGCCCCGGCTCCCCTCCCACGTCAGGTGCTCTGGAAGCACGGTTCCCAGTTGGTTCAGGCAGACTTTCAGACAAGCCCACGCTCCCTGCATCAGGGGACAGTATCTCTGTTATCCACGGGTTCCCAGGGAAGGGTTAAATCTCCCCTTTGAAATCCAATAGAGCAAAGGCATAAGGAGCCCTAGGCTCCTTATGGGGGACTCTGAGCAGTGTCCTCAGTCAGTCCCATCTGTCTGGACTCATTTAGTCAGCATCCGATTAACATTCCACTCCAAAGTCTCCCAGACCAAATACTTGCCCGGAACAATCCAATGTCTGTAGCTTTCTTGGACCAAGGTTAGCTCTGTAGAAGAGACCAGGTTAAGTTCACGTTGCTTTCTCATTCTCTCCTCACCACCAAATCCAGGTTTCTCTTGCAGATCTTGTTCTAGAACCCAACCAAACACCAAGAGTGATGCCAGGGTCCCTTGGGTCCTCCAGGAACGTCTCCCTCCATCCCCTCTCTGTACCAGAACCACCACAGCTCAGCCATACGGTTTCCAGGCACAGCCCAACCCCCGGTCAGTTTGCCAGCTGCTTCTGAATCTGGGACAGAGCTCCACAGACTTGGCAGGGCACTGCAGCAGCTGTCTGCAAAGCCACACTTACCCTCCCTTTAAACACTCCTCTTCTGCGGTCCATAAAAGCCAGGTTGTGGTGGAAGGAAAAAAGAAGTCATTCTTAACCTGTTGATGTCTCAGCCCCCCTTCTGTCATCTCACAGCCAGCCCCGAGGGCTCCAGGCAGATTTTCTTTCATTTCATGTCAAGCAGAGCACAGGTCCCAGGTTAAGGGTCTCCTGCTCTCCAGGGGGGGGGATCGAAGCCATGAAATAATGCTCCAGTTAAGGCTGGAAGGGGATCTGCAGGACACGTGGGCACTGTTTGCATTATTCACTCAGCCACTAACTGCAAGATTGCAGACAGGGGTTATACATTTAGGCTTGATGTTATTTCAAGTCAGCCAAATCAGGAAGAGAGGCATTATCCCTTCCTGCCCCACCGCACCTAAAGGGATTTTGTCTGTAAGTGTTCGTTGGCAAAGCTGTAGGATTTTAGCATTACCCTAAGTCACATGTGAAAAAAATGCCTGAAAAAGTGAATGATGGGGAGGGTTTATAGCTAGGAATCAAACTGCAAACCACCAACAGAAAATATAAAGAGGTTTGTCAGCAGAAAGCATTCATCAATTAAAATACATTCTGCTGTACCTTGGTCAAGCATCTCTTAGTGTACAGCAGGGGCTGCCTTCCCCCAGGCAGGCGGGGAGCCGAGGACACAGGAGCATCATCATAAATCAGAACACAGATCGCCACTCCTAGACCAGAACTCCTCACAGACTGTTTTTGTACATCCTGAAGAAGGAGGCAGAGACTGGAAAATTTAACCTGAGGAATTTAATCGACCTGCCAAGCTTCTGCAAAAGAGTGAATTACTTAAGTTCAGTAACATTTCTTAAGAGAAATGGTGATTTGTTAATCAGTTTCCCAAAAGCTGATGGAGTGCAAGAGTCCTACAGCAGCCCCTCTCCAACTGCTAGGTCAGTCTGGAGAATCACTGCGATGGTGCGTTTGGCCACGCTGTGAAGTTGCTCACAGAATATATATTTTAAACATGAGAGAGAAAAACAGAATCTACACAGATGAAGGAAACCCCAGCTTTCAGCTTTGGGAGGGAAGGCTGTGCTGCAGCACTGAATCATGCGTGCTGACTGCCAGCGCTGTCTGCATGCAGACTCATACCACTGTTTCTCCGCTCACAGAAGTACAGGAAAGCAAAGATTCATCAGCATTAATTAATCTTTCCCCAGCTCTCATAAAGAGGAGATATTTTTTTTTTCCCCCCTGAAAACTGAAATTTTGGAAAAGTAGCAGAACATAAAAGAGGAGAAATGGCTGAAGGCTGGTAAACAGTCAGAGAAGGAATAAGATGAACACACTCTCTTGAAAGGACGAGTTTTAGCTGAGCCATCTATGTAAGCTGTGAAATCAGCTGCCTTCTCACAGCTTGTCCACTGAGCCACCCCAGCTCCCCACTGCAGGTACCTGAACTCAGCACAGGATGAGGCAGCTCTGTCAGACAACGCTGATGCTCACGGTCACAAGTCTGGTCGCTGCCAACAGCAGCAAAGCCTCATCGCGCTGCACTCCGGGTCTGTAAAACAAACAGGATTATTTATTAACCCTACGGAGTTTCTTGTTGTTGCCTCCTCCAACACCGTGACTCCGTCCCCCATCCTCATCTCCTGCTGAGCTCCCTCACATTTCATGATGAGGGTATCAGTTCCCTGTGGCTTCCATAAATACGTTAACGAAGCAGTGGATACCAAGTGTTTAAAGTTGTGAGTTTATTGCATATGTAACAAAAATGAACATGACCTCCTGGGTCCAGCCTACTATACAATCACTGTTTATTCCAGCTGGTTCCATAACCACATTAAATAGAACTGGTATTTCTTTAAATACTTTGATTTAGACATAAAATGAAACATTAGTGTACAACTTTCACAAAATAAATCTGCAATAAAAACAGTGGGAAGAATAACAAGGATAGCAGCAATACTTAAACATGACATTACAAAATAATAAATTAAAAAAATACATTATAAAGTGGTCGAGGAACAAAAATCAACAAATTAAAAACAGATCCATACTGTGTTTCTGGGAACTTGCTGTGCCACGCGGCCCTGAACCTGAGCTACAGAGGGCCCTGGTGGCCAGATCACTAATTTACAAAACCTATTGGATTTCACAACCACCTCAACTTGAACAAAGTACATACTGCTGAGCAAACGTTGATTTCACCCCCTGGAGCTTCAAGCAGCCTTTCTGAAGCAGGGTCCTGTCTCACATAATGCCCAAGTTAATGCCAACATTCATACAACAGCCTCATTTCTTCCCGATTTAAAGCACGAGCAAAGTGGTGGTTTCCTACATCCCTGAGCATATAGTATAGGCTGATGAGCAGTATCAGGGCAAGCACTGAAGGTCTGTGCCAACGGACCAGCTTTTAGGTTTGCCTTTAGGACAGGAACGAAGGACACATCGTCCCTTGTATTTCCTTCAGGTCTGATCCAAGACGCGTGTGTGCACAAGGTGGAACGTGGAATGACTGAACGAACACCGGACTTCATGTTATTCTTTGGGCAAGTTTTGAGGAGTAGCAACCAGTTCAAGTGCTGGCAGACCAAGTGGGAATGAACACACTCACAGATTCAGACAGCTGAGGTTATAAGAACAGCCTCCAAGACCTCATAGAGTCAACAGCTTGAGCCATGCAAACTCTTGTTTGCGTTTCATCCTTCCCTGGCCTTGAAACCAGCCACTGGAAGAAGAAATCATCGCTTAAAACCCACACTGCCTTGCTTCTTTATTTCCTCCACCCATCCACCATCCATCCATCCAGCTTTAAGGCCTGCCTCAAACGCATGTACAGAACAACACAAACAAAAGGTCTTTATCATCACTGAAGTGGCACGAAGTTGCGAAGACAACACGATGGGAGAGGTGGTGAAGCTGCATAAAGAAGAACTAAAACAATTACAAAGACGGTGCCCTATTCTCATTACTGTCAGCAAGTAGGAGGTACCTTGACGAGGGCTTTTAAACACAGCAAACAACAATCCTTGCCTATTCTTATTTTGTGCATTCAATAAAACACTGACCTAGGAAAGACATTAGGAACTATCATATGTCAACTGTGTCGCTGACATAAAGCTACTTGACCTACAGATTTCCAAATCAAGGGCCTTTACCTGCACCTCACTTGGTTTTTACCAAGCCAGTTTTAGAGCTTGCGTGATAGGATTTCTGTTAGTGGTGGGCTTCAGCATCTGTTTTTTCAACTCTTTTAGTGATAAATCCACATGAGACTCCATGCAAAGCTTTTGGGCAATAATCCACGTTGTGTTTTTCCTATCTGACTGGTTTATTGCACATCCAAATGCACTGAAAGGATTAAATACACTCTATGGACAGGTACGACTTCACAGCCATTTTGAAAAGCCAGGGCCACGGGGATTCTGCTGCTCAGCCCAAGACTGCACAGACGTTCATCTACAGACACTTCTACTTCCCTTCTCTTCTGCAAAACACACACAGTATTTCACTCGTGTCCCAACAATCAGTACTGCAGAAACTGGTCCCCATTTGCAACAAGAGCACGGGTGTAAACATCCTCTGTCCTGTACAGCCTCGCTGGATGAGCGCCCGGAGCGACCCTGTGCAAATCTCACACTATGGTACAACTTTACACCTCCAATGCAATCCTCACTCCCACCCACAAATCACAAGAATGATGGTCAATGGAAACAAACAAACAAAACTGAGAACGATGCCAGAATTTTTGACGAGTGTCTACTTTCTGTCCTAGCACAGTTTAAAGCTATTATCAAATTCAATTTTAAAAAGACAAAATAGAAGTATTCCAGTAGACATCTTCTAAGAACAATCTCTTACCCACAGCTGAATTTCAATGCACTATTCCATAAACAAAAACATTGTTAAATGTTTCAGTAATGAATTTCTCTAAAAATCAGGCTTGCCAAAGAAAAAAAAATCCTATACAAGCAAGCCTGCTTTACTGAAGTTTAGACATGTTTGACAGATAACTGGGTCCTTCTGAAGCCGTGTTATTTGTTAAAATACTGTCTCATCTCGGAGTGCAAACTGGAAAAAATG